GGAAGCCATTGAAGTTTTCTGAGCAGGAGAATAGCATGATCTTAGTTAGATCTTAAATGGAGTATCTTAGTTATACTGGAGAAAATACAAAGTATGGGTTAAGAGCAGAAAAAAGGAGCTAGCTAGGTGGCCTCCAGGGTAAAAATGGTTACAGATGCCAGAAGCTGATCAGTCCTGATGAGGGAGATTTTGTTTTATATTGGGTCAGGAAATTTTTAATTCAACTTTCTAGTTTTCAGGCCATTGCAGTGATTAGAGATCTGTTGAGAAATCCTTCTTCATGCATCACTCAAAGTCTCCTGTTGTGGTTGCCAGCTTACGATCTCATCTTTCTGATCCTAGTGAAACTCATTTGTGCCTGAGCCAATCCTTTAAATAGTCCTTACTACATTTTTGGGGCTTCCCAGGTGCCACAGTGGTAAATAATCCACCTGCCAATCCAGGAGATGCAAGATATGCAGATTTTATCCCTGGGTGGGAAGATTCACTGGAGGAGGGCAACCACTCCAGTATTCTTATTTGGAGAATCCCATGGACAGAGGATCCTGGTGGGGCTACAGTCCATGGGGTCGCAGAGTCAGGCATGACTCAGCACATATGAGTGCGAGTGTGCACACACACACACACACACACACACGTCACATTTTTCACATGTCCTGGTGAAATGACTGCAAATTTTTCAAACTTTTCTCATTTTGCTTCTTTACTGAAGCTGTTCTAGAGAAGATTGAGAATTTGATTGGGAAGCTGAGGCAGGTAGATTGATCCTACTCTGCAGGTAGTATGTGGTGTGATAATGGACAAGTCACATGATATTCTTGAACCTCTGTATAAGGCACACGTTAATCTGATAGACTCTTAGAAGGGAGGTATTTTATAGGCCAGATACATTGCTAGTAGCATCATGGAACCAAGACTAGACCAAAGTGATTCTCTCACATCATAAAAAAAGCCTCTCCTGGGAGCAAATAAGGGCAGAACTGAGGACTGATCTTAGGTCACCAGTCTCTAGTCCAATGAGTTGCATATTTTTTCTATTTCTTTTACCCTAGGATATCATCTAGTGAGACAAATTTCATTATCTCTTGGCCCATTTTCAGACCCTCCCTGCTTTTCCATGTCTCCTATAATTTGTGGGGATCCTTGATCAACCAAAAAATAGCATTATTCAAAAAACGACAGCATGAATAAGAGACATGTTTACATGCACTCAGAAAACTTCACATACACAGAACTATTTATATGGGTGGTTTGAATGGGTTTGCTGCATGGTGTAGGCACAAGAAAATATTTCAATCTCATCCATTTGCCTGATGGTACTTGTAATGGTTAAAAGCCATGGAACCCTCGACTGGCCAGGTTTGGTGCTTGGAAAACTTACCTAACTACTCTGAACCTGTTTATGCCTCCATTAAATTGGGATTAAGTTCATTTCATTAGGTCATTGCAAGGATTAAATCCTTTAGTTGAATGGCTGACCCATGTTGTTGTTGTTCAGTTTCTAAGTTGTATCCAACTCTTTTGTGACCCTATGGACTGTAGCCTACCAGGTTCCTCTGTCTACTATTTCCAGGCAAAGATTATTTCCAGGCAAGAATACTGGAGTGGGTTGCCATTTCCTTCTCTAGGGAATCTTCCCAACCCAGGGATTGACATGTGTCTCCTGCATTGACAGGTGTATTCTTTACCAAAGAGCCATCTGGAAAGCCCACCTGACCCATAGTGGGTAATAAAAAATGATCCCTGTGATGATGGTGATTGTAGCTGTTGCTATTAGGTGTATGTTTTATTATTAATCATAATAGTGATCACTGTCACTTATTACTTTATTTGTATTGTTTACCCAGCTTTTTTTGTGTGTATATTTGATGCTATAATTCTGTGAAGCAGGCAGGACAAGTAGCAGTTATTGTCTATTTTATGAGTGAGGAGACAGAAAAGCAGAAAAACTTTAAGTGGCTTGCGAAAAACACATATCAGTGGCAGAGTTAGGCCCCGAATGTTTGGATCCCCTGGTTTTACAATATTCTATTTTTCATTCTGAAACTTTATTTTCGTTCCTGAGCCATATCACGTGAATATGAACTCCTCATTATGAGCCTTATGCTGCCAGGTTGTGCTTGCCATTGACTCATCTACTGAGCACACAGATCACTGAAATGTTTGGACACAGTACTATAGGCACTGTCATTTTCTCCTTTTTTCTGTTGAGTGAGGTTCTCCATTTTATTTTTCACTCTCCTTTTCAGAATCTAATGATGAGAAGTGTGTGCAATCTTGTCAGCTCATCTGTCAGCAGAATTTACCAACTTGCTGTAATTGTTCCTCAGCACACTCCAGAGAAGTGAGAAATGAACAGAGATACTTGTCTCTGTCCACAATGAAAATTCCAGCAGTTGTGTGAACTGGTTTGCCCACTCCACCCCTGCTTGAGTTAATAAAGACTGGGAACAAAATCTCTTTCTTTTAATATTCCTAGGGAGAAAATTGAACATCTGTAGATGAGTGAGTGAATATTAATAAAGTTGGTGATGAGAGAGAAGGAAAACAAGAGGGATATGCCACAGCCTGGAAAATTACAAGACAGAATGTGATATTGGCACCAAAGACCCCATTTTATGCCTGTCTGACCAATCTTAAGACTTCATCAATAACCACACCTGATTAATTACACTGAGATAGTCAAATAACCAGTGAAATTAAAATGTGCCCTTTTAGATGGGCAGTGGGCACCTGCATTGTCAGCACTGCTTCTGATCCACTCCTTCCTTCTGAAAGACACAGCCCTGAGAGATGGTGTTACTTTGTGCCAAGTTGTGGGTGACTATCAGCTTTCAAACTAAAGACAATTGTGCAGGGAATCTCACATGAAGGCATTGTCTTTCCTCCCTGCACCATGCTTGCAATCTCCTGAGTTTATCCTCTTAAAATTAACAGAGCACAGGATTTTTGAGTACATGTGTCAAACTGCGTGCTTTAGAAGACTCTGAACAAGGTGTATCTTCTCACACCTCAGTTTCCTTATGTGTAAATGGAGAAAATAGTGTGTATATCATAGGACTATCAAGAAAAGTGTATGAGTTGCTATAAGTAAAGAACTTAGGAAATAATCATAGGCAAATGAAATGTACCTGAAGAATGTTTTCCATTATTATTGTGTGAGTACAGAGGCCACAGTCCCAGTTAGCCACACAATAATAAAGGTAAACAGCAGAGCCACTTACACCATCCTGTACCCAGAAAACCATTCTGTTTTTCACTTTTAATAGAGTATTCAGTAAATGACATGAGATAGTTAATACTTAATTATAAAAAAAAAAGGCTTTGTCTTAGACAATTTTGCCCAACTAATAAGTTATTGTAAATGTTCTGAGCACTTTCAAGGTAGATTAGGAAATTGCCAACATCTGTTGGATCATAGAAAAAGCAAAAGAATTCCAGAGAAATAGCTACTTCGGCTTCATTGATTACACTCAAGTCTTTGACTGTGTGGATCACAACAAACTGTGGAAAATTCTTCAAGAGATGGGAATACCAAACCATTTTACCTGCCTCCTGAGAAATCTGTATGCAGGTCAAGAAGTGACAGTTAGAACTGGACATGGAACAACAGACTGGTTCCAAATAGAAAAAGGAGTTTGTCAAGGCTGTATATTGTCACTTTGCTTATTTAACTTATATGCAAAGTACATCATGTGAAATGCCAGCCTGGATGAAGCACAAGCTGGAATCAAGATTGCCAGGAGAAATATCAATAACCTCAGATATGCAGATGACACCACCCTTATGGCAGAAAGTGAAGAAGAACTAAAGAGCCTCTTGATGAAAGTGAAAGAGGAGAGTGAAAAAGTTGGCTTAAAGCTCAACATTCAGAAGACTAAGCTCATGGCATCTGGTCCCATCACTTCATGGCAAGTAGATGGGAAAACAATGGAAACAGTGAGAGACTCTATTTTCTTGGGCTCCAAAATCACTGTAGATGATGACTGCAGCCATGAAATTAAAAGATGCTTGCTCCTTGGAAGAAAAGTTATGACCAACCTAGACAGCATATTAAAAAGCAGAGACATTACTTGGCCAACAAAGATCCATCTAGTCAAAGCTATGGTTTTTCCAGTAGTCATGTGTGGATGTGAGAGATGGACCATGAAGAAAGCTGAGCACCAAAGGACTGATGCTTTTGAACTGTGGTGTTGGAGAAGACTCTTGAGAATCCCTTAGCCATACAAGAGATCAAACCAGTCAATCCTAAAGGAAATCGGTCCTGAATATTCATTGGAAGGACTGATGCTGAAGCTGAAGCGCCAATACTTTGGCCACCTGATGCGAAGAACTGACTCATTGGAAAGACCCTGATTCTGGGAAAGATTAAAGGTGGGAGGAGAAGGGGGTGACAGAGGATGAGATGGTTGGATGGCATCACCGACTCGACGGACATGAGTTTGAGCAAGCTTCAGGAGTTGATGATGGACATTGAAGCCTGGCTTACTGCAGTCCATGGTGTTGCAAAGAGTCGGACATGAGTGAGCAACTGAACTGGACTGAACTGAGGCTAAGCTATGGCTTCCCAGGTAGTGCTCTTGAGAAAGAATCCACCTGCCAATTCAGGAGATGACACTGACACGGGTTCTATCCCTGGGTCGGGAAGATGCCCTGGAGAAGGAAATGCCAACCCACTCCTGTATTCCTTCATGGGATTCCTGGGAAATCCCATGGACAGAGGAGCTTCGTGGGCTACAGTCTATGGGATCACAAAGAGTTAGTCATGACTGAACACACATGTGCACACAGACTAAGTGTGATATTCAGTAGGTTAGTGTATTGAATGCAGTTTTGACTTAAGATATTTTCAACTTACAGTGTTTGTTGGAATTTAATCCCATGAATGCAGTTTTGACTTAAGATATTTTCAACTTACAGTGAGTTTGTTGGAATTTAATCCCATTATAAGTTGAAGGAGATCTGTATGCTGATTTTTCTCTTTTCCTCTGTATTTTTAGACCCCAGAAGAATTAGAGGATGATTCAGACTTTGAGCAGGAAGATTACGATGTGCGTAGCCGGACAAGTGTTCAGACCGAGGATGACCAGCTCATTGCAGGACAGAGTGCACGGGTAAGTGGACATTCAGGACTTTGGTTTGGAGCACAGCAGTTGAGTTCGCCAAACTGGTTTGAAGGAATTTCTGATTTCCAGGTACCTGGAACCCCAGAGATTCATGGCTCAGAAATCCAGGCTGTCACCTGGGGTTGTTTCATTTCTAGCAACTCACATTTTACACAATGGAAATCACCACTGATTCTGATTCCTTCTTACTCCCTTCTGTTTCCATCACTGAAATTATAGCAGCCACATCACAGCAAAACTTGTGTGTATTGTGGATTTAGTGGGTGTTGGAGATCATGATTAGATGGTTCAGTGACCAGGGCATAAGGGAATGCTCAGATCTTACCTTTTCCCAGACTTCATGGTTCTTCTTAAAGTCTCCAAACTTGTTAACCACATAGGTGACAACCACAAATGGAGAATGAGAGTACTACTTTGTTACCAGTGGGGTTGTTATTGCTCCATACTCTGGTCTAGTGTATCTGAGAAACAAGACCACATATTTTGCAGTTGGTTCAGGGACATCAGAGTTGAGAAAGAAGTTTTTCCCCTGATACCTACCTAGGGCCAAGGCAACAGCCCCAGATCCATGTGATTGAAAAAGAAATTACAGAGACATACAAGAAATATAACAGTTAAAGACTGTGGAGCAAGAACCATAAAAGATCACCACTGTGGTTGACAGTTGAACTCTCTTGAACACTCTGACACAGGCCACCAATAAAAGTGTTCCAAAGAATATTCTGGAAGCTGACCAGTCTTATTAGCTGGAGCTTCTTGAGGAGAAGCTGCCAGTAATCAAGGCAGGGAGCAGCAGATAAAACTCCTGGGGATTGCAAAAGAGGGTGAGATTCTCCTCCCTTTAAAGGCTCAGTTTCCATAGGGCTAAAATAATCTAATTTTAGAATAACTAAAATATCCTAATGGATATTCTAATTCTCTTTTGTAAAGTTTTACTTATTAAAAGATAATGAATAGGAAGCATGAGATAGAGATAGCAATTTAGAATAGGGATCTAGTAACTCCAGAAAGTTCACACTGGCATAGGAATTCTAAAAAAAGAGTAAAACTAGCCAATCAAAGGTTAAAATGAAGATAATTCAGAGAAGACTAAACTTTATGTTGAGTCAAGAAAGTCTTTGCTTTTAAAATCCCATTTCCCCTTATAGTCTCATCCAACAATTAAATGATCTATGAGATAGAGATGAACATCGTTGGGCGAAGTGTGAGAGTAAAAGTTAGAACATTGGAGATGTGCTGGATTTGATTTCAGACAGACTTAGTTCTGAATTGTAATGAGTAGGGTGAACACTATGCTCTGGTACATGCTGCTTAATTTCTCTGAGCTTTTTTCCTATCATCTTTAAGTAAATAATAGGCCTGTTTGATAAGATTCCTTTGAGATTTTGATCACTTAACATTTATAAAATAATGAGCATAATATCTGACACACATTGAGTGCTCAATAAGGGATGACTGAAAATAGTCATCTTTTGGAAGAGAAATCTCTTATCACAGGCTGGTGAGAGCAGAGAAGTGCACAGAAGAGTATGAGGCTCCCTACTTTAAAAGATTCCTTGTAGACTTTAGTTACTCCCCTAAAATATTGAAAATAGGGAAGTTGATTAAGCCGAGAGTCTTTTGAGCCTGTCCTGGCATAAGACTATACTAATTCATCAGTCAGATCAATTCATCTTCAAAATGAAGTAAAAGAAGCATTTTTATGTCAGTGACAAAGGGCAAGTTTGAGTAATTCACCCAAACATTAATCTGTTCAAAGTCAATTTGATTGACTAACTGCAACTTAGTATTGGTACAGCCTCACTTCTTACAGGGAAAAATACAGTCCCATTATACTTCCATTTCATGCATCTTACATTCAAGGTCAAGTCAGTTACGGTGAGTGGAAACAAAAGTCAGATGACATCTATCTACATCATCTATTATTTCTTCACCCAGTAGGTGAGAAGACAGTGGTCTTTTTTGAAAGTTTTTTCAGCATGAATGATGAACATGGGCCAGGATAGTAAGAACAAACTACCCCTGTAATTCAACACCTGCTGATTTGTCTTTGCGAACCATCATGAGGTTTGTATGAGTAACTTGCAGCAGACAACATTAGTTATTGAGTCAGCCTATTTAAGCCTATAATTATATGATGACAAATCAGAGACATAGAATTACGGCCATAAGTTAGAAATAAGAGGGTGCATTGAATTACTGAGATGACAGATGGTCGAACTTTTGACCAGAGAAGTGTGTTAACTTGTTCAAAAGTGTGGAGGAGGCAAAAGTTGTCTCTGACAGAGGCAGTTGCTCTTTCCAGCACCCAGCTCTCCTCTAGTTACTTTGTGTTCTCATTCAGCGAAATTCTCTGAAAATGGCAAATTAAATCCAAGAGGAGATTAAGGTGGGAAAAAAGACTTTAGTGTCCTTTCCAATGTTGTTCTCAAATTCTGAAATTAGAGTTAAGCTTTGTTCCCTTTATGTGTTCCCGTCTGCTGCTTGTCTACAATGCTTTATGAGAGAGAAACAGAGAGATAGAGAGAGAGAGAGAGAGGATTTGAATGGAGAACAGTCATACCCTGATCTGATAAAACATAGAAATTATCAGGCCCTTTGATCCTAAACATGATATCTTATAAACTTCTTTCTTCAAAAGCTGACATAGTTAAAATTAATCATCAACAACTCTTGGGCATTTAACCTTCATGAGAAAACATATTATTTGCAGTCACACAAACCTTATTTTAAAAACGGATTTGGGCAAGCTGTACGGCTTTGGGGTAACTTTCTTAACCTCGCTATGCCTCATCTCCTTGTGTGTGCCCTCTCTCTCCATCTCTCTCTCTTTATATATATACATGTACTTCATAGTGTCATTAGGAGAAATGCATGATGAAAAGTATCCCAAGAGTTATTGCATAATGTTAAGTTTATGAAGAAGATGATGATGCTTGTAGCATAACATAGTCATTCATTAGAAGGCTGGCCAATAGTTTAACCTGAAAAGGCTGGATAATTTAGACCATCCTGAAAGTTTTCACTTGAATTAATGAGACAAGAATCTCAATTTTCCAATTCACTTCACAGCCTGAGACAAGTAAAAGTCACCCACTCCTTAATTACTTATGTTTATTATCGTGCTTTAAAACCAAGTGAAGAGAAATGGGCACATTAAGTTTTAACCTTTCAAATCATTATTTATAAACATGCATATACTTAAACCTTTCATGGTAGACTATTGCTGTGTGTTTAAGATACGAACACTTTTCAGTTCAGATGTCCAAAGACTTTAAAAGTCATTTTTCATCTTGGGATTGGGAAAAGAATTCTTTTGAGACTAGAAAAAAGCTCCTTGAGATTTAAATTGCCGAAAAAATTCTGGACTGAGACGTTGTTGGCTTGTGTCAGTGATATACACTTTTATTTAATAAAGTTTGGGCTTTACTGGTGGCTCAGACAATAGAGTCTGGATTCAGTCAAAGACCCGGGTTCAATCCCTGGGTTGGGAAGGTCCTCCGGAGAAGGAAATGGTAACCCACTCCTGTATACTTGCCTAGAGAATTCCACAGACAGAGGAGACTGGTGGGCTACAGTCCATGGGGTCGCAAAGAGTTGGACATGACTGAGTGACTAACACTTTCACTTTCTTCACTTAATAAAGTTTAGAACAATCACACACACAAAAATGCTTGTATGTTCAGAGGAAAGGTTAGGAGCCTGAGGCAGCGGGGTAAGAAATGTTGTGAATTCAAGTCTCTGAGGCCACCGAATTGGGGTCCCAGATCAAAAATCTGGACAGCTGTGGTTGGCTAAACAGAAAGCAGAGGAAAATCTCAGACCACTGCTGGTGACCACATGACACAAACAGAAAAGCTTATTTGTTCTCTTTCCCCTGTGCCATCGAAACCCTTTTTCTTATGTTTCCTTAGTTTGAGGGAATGAACAATTGCACATTATGTATTTTGCATTCAACTTGACTTGAATGTAGCCAGCCTCTAAGCTTTTTTTTTCCCCTAGCTAGAAGGGCTTTAATGTGTTAACATTTCAAACTGCTGAGTTACATTGATAAGACCTAATTAAAACTCATGTGTTGAATTTTAATTTGATTAACTTGCAAATTTCACAGTTTGTGATCTACTGTTTATAGATAACCTTTTTTTAAATTCCAGTTTCAGAAAAGGTCAATTATGAATTTTTAAAAGCCAAGAGATTTTTAAGAATATTTAGGAAATGACTTTGCTTCATCGATAGCTACGTTAGCAGAAGCAAATGTAATGACTCTTACACCCAAGTCACACGCCATTAAGTGCATTATGTGGGTGAAGCACCCCCAGAGTCAAAATAACAGCTTCCTTTGCAAATTTGCTTTGAAGGGGTTTGTTTTTCTTCCAAATTGTGCCCTCAGAAAACATTTGTCAGTTCTGTTAACTTCTCTCAAATTGTGTCAATAGGGTGAGTGGAGAGATGTGTGAACAGTCAATCAAAAGGTATGCATTTAGTTTCTACACAGAGGCGGATGCTGGGGTCTTTGCCTTCAGGAAGCTCAAAAGGAAGTCAGAAGCAGGGCATTAATAGAAATCAGAGAGTTAGAGTAAAGCAGTTAATATTCAAATACTAAACTGGATGATTGAAACTCAAGTGATAACAGTTGACAGACACGTGTAACCTTTTTATGCACAAATTAATCCTTTGGGGACAATGATAGGTTTATTGCTAGAATCTGGATGTTGAATATAGAATCTGGAGGTCTGCCCAGCAGTTTTATAGATTCTTTTTTTTTTTTTTTTTAAGAGAAGCACCTAATAGATGCTTTAAATGATGCTGGTTAGGACTTGTAGGGTATAAGTAAAACATGGTTATCAATTTTGTATGAAGAGGACAAATGAATCTTACACACCTTTAGAATATCAGATGGGGTGCTTCAGGAAACTTGTGCAAATCCAAACCTATCTCAAAAGTACTGTAATAGCTGCCTTGGAATTAGTATGATGTTGCATATGTGAGTTTATAACAAACTCCTTTGTATATTAACTCTTTTTAAATACATTTTTAAAGTACTTTAAAATATTTTTTGAATAGTAGTATTTTAAATACTTTAACTATTGTATCTGAACTAGTTTGATTTTTAAGATATCGATTTTTAATGTTTGTATACACATGCACACACATATTTGTAAACCTAAGTTTATATATATAGATATATATGTATATATATATACACACACACACACACAGACATCATACACATGAAGACACATGCTATTGGTACAAAGTCACACACATACCTGCACGGCATTTAGTAGACATTGTTGGTAAGAGGTAGCATCTGGGAAGCTGCTAGTTCAAGGACATCTTCATGCAAATCAGACCAAGGAACCCCTTTGCCCTGGGCAGATGAAGCCTTGACTCTAGGCTGCTCAGCCGGGTGGACAGAGGCTGCAGTTTTGTGACCTTTGCCCCATTGGACTGGGATCACTAGGCAGTGTCTAACCTGCACTGTCCTGCCTGGTGATCTCATTGTGCAGGATGCTTAAGTATGGTGTTAGCTGACCTGGCTTTGAATCCTTTTCTTACAGCTCATTAGTTGTATAATGTTCAGAGTTAATTATCATCATTAATAAAATAGAGGTAATAATAGTATTAATCTTATACAATAATTAAGTAGATTAAATGTTTGACATTTTAAGTTTTTTAGTATAGTACCCAGGATGCATGCCTGTGTTCAAAGAATCATGTTGATTTCCATTTATAGGTAGTCACACAGTCTCTGATTCCATCTCTTCTCTTTGATGGCAACTATGTAATAAGCTAGAGAAGCAGCTGGAAACAGCTTTCTAGGAAAGCTCATAGAAATAATGATAACAATGGTAACAATAATCCCATACATGCTTACTGTCATTTTTTTCAGACAAACATGTAGCACATTTATTATTTTATTTTCTGTCCATCATAGCATTTGGAGGTAATTGAGGTAATTGTCTACTAATCTTATATTTCAAAAAGTTAAGGATGTGATCCAGTAGCAATGAGGTCTTAAGTCAGTGACAGAACCAGGTTGAGCCCAGTTCTTCTAATCTTGAATCCCCTGATATTTCAGTTAGATATCAGCTACCTATCCTTTGAACTATTCACTTATACTGGGAGGAGCTTTACAATTTAGAAAGCAGTTTTGTTTTTTTGGTCTTATTTACTTGTCCTTTGTAAAAACTGTATGTATCCCAAATCATGCTTTCTTGGTCTTTCTTCTGGAGCATACATGTATCCCAGCACCAGAGGGACACCAGTGCTAACACACTGATCCACATGCTCCTTTCAGTGATGCAGGCTACAAAAGGTTCTGGGCAGATGCCATGAACTGGTGTCAGACATTTCACTCAACACCTGCTACATAAATAGTGTTTAACAAATACAGTTGATTCTCTTTATTCATGGCCTCATGTTCTATAAGGTCAATGTGAACACTTAAATTAGCAACTGCAGATTCATTGTTTCTATGGGAAATACAGGGTTAGGTTCCTGAGAGCTGCTAGTCTTAACATTTCCTTCAACCCATCAATACATAATCTTGTTTAATGAATGCTTCTGTTTTTTCCATCGATTTGCTTCATGAACATTGAACTCATATCTAAGAGCACTAAAAGTCATTTGTGAACAAAGTTCATATAATACATGTATTTTCTTCATTAGGCACTTTGCAGCCTTCTTGCGCTTAGAGATGTGAGACAGCACTTCTACACTAGGGTTGGGGACCATGTTAAGCAAAAAGGTGCAAAGATGTGGGAAATGTGGTACTAAATAGACTGCAAAAAGGACACTTGTTTCTGGTATGAGTGCTAATACAAGAAGGCAGAGACACCCTTGTTCCACTTCATCTGGGAACATGGATGTTGGATGACTCAAATTTTGGCAGCTCTGCGCATGTCTGTGAATGACTGAAAACATCACAAATATTGATTTGGGAGTTCAGATAGATTTTAGAGAGTAGGAAAATTTGTAAATAAAAAAAAAATCCACAAATAGTTAGAATCAACAGTAATTCTTCCTTTTCTACATTCCCCTACTAGCAGCTGTTGAAAATCAACTTTTCCTTCCTAATACTACATTTTATCCCATCACAGCTTTTCTGTGCATAGGAGTCATGGCTGACCCAGGATTTCCACAGTGCCAAGGACTGGGAATGAATATGCCATCCTGAAGTGCCCCGGATAAGGGATTTTTGTTTGGCATTTAACCATGGATGGCTTCATTAACACCCACAGATTGTCTCCCCACCCCACTTGGGATACTCAGATATACTTTAAAATTCTTTTCGAGAGGACAGCATTGAAACATGTATATTATCTAGGGTGAAACAGATCACCAGTCCAGGTTGGATGCATGAGACAAGTTCTCGGGCCTGGTGCACTGGGATGACCCAGAGGGACTGGGTAGAGAGGGAGGTGGGAGGGGGGATCGGGATGGGGAATACATGTAAATCCATGGCTGATTCATGTCAATGTATGACAAAAACCACTACAATATTGTAAAGTAATTAGCCTCCAACTAATAAAAATAAATGGAAAAAAAAAATTCTTTTCCTTGCCGGCAACAGAAGGCCTGTTCTCTTTTTTCCCTTCTCTGAACAGATTTCAGTATTGAAAGAGGTGCAGTCTTTCATCTGGTAAAAGTTTCCCAAGACCAAACATAAAAATTGTCAGGAATAGATCCTTTTGAACAAACACATGTCATCACAGCGATTAGAGAGGTTCTGCTACTGTCAATGTGCACATCCCTTTGGATCTTGGTTATTTTTTGTGTGTGGGAATGGGGACAGGAAATTTAGGGACCTTACCAGTCTGTGATTTTTCCTTCCTGGGGCTGGAGAAAAGGGTATTTTCCAGAGTGGTGGGACGGCCTACCAGCCTCGTCAGGGTCTGGGTTTGCTGTTAACTGGGGGCAGAGTTGAACTTCTGTCTGGGCTCCCTTTGTCATCATTAGTCATACTTTTTCTGTAACCCACACAGGCCATCATGGCACAACTACCACAAGAGGAGAAGGCAAAAATAGCTGAGCAGGTGGAGATATTCCACCAAGAGAAAAGCAAGCTGGACGCGGAAGTGGCCAAATGGGATGACAGCGGCAATGATATCATTGTGCTGGCCAAACAGATGTGTATGATCATGATGGAGATGACAGACTTCACAAGGTGAGGCATGCCGACAGGAAGGGGAAGGTTTTCTCATTAAAAATAACAGAGGCGTCATAATAGTGGGTGTTAGTATGTGAAAAGCCGGCTGAAAAATTAAAAGGGTCCATCAAAGCACGGGGTGGTACTATAAAATTCACATGTGTAAATCAACATGATCTGAGCCTGGTTCTTAGCAGATAGGTCTTTTTGGTCAAAAAGAACAGATTCATTTCTGTAATTAGTATTGTTTTAATTATCCATCCTGAATTAGTCATAAAATCAAACACCTGGAACTTGGGGGACTGATTTTTGGTCTATGCTATTTTGCAGTGTGCTTAAATATTATTCTGAAGATAAAGTGTATGATTTGCTCATATCCCTCAGGGAAAAATATGTATATATATATATATGGGAGGGGCATGTTGGCATGTGATGTCTTTTAATGCTAGCTCATGATTTAGTATTTAATTTCAGCTCATATTTTATACTTACATACAAAGAATTGGGTTCAACCATCTGATTCTATAGTTGTGACAGGAAAATTAAACATTGTATAAGTTTTAGACCCTTTTGCTCTGAGCAGTATTTTTAATAAATCAGGAGACCAGTCAGAATTTTGTCAGGAGCCTTTTTTTCCTCAGGGGTCATTGCTGTTTCTTCTTTTGCATTTTTATAGTCTCCTCTTTAAAGGGAGCTGACATTTCTGCCCTTCCAACCACACGAAGGGCAGACCAAGGGAGAGCAAAGCTCAATGAAAAGATCCCTGGATATTTTAGTCCAAATACCAGGTGATTCTAGACCAGTCTCTTACTGTCTTTATTCATTTGTAAAGGAGGAAAGTAATACTCTTCTTATCAACTTCACAGGAGAGTTTAAAATCCAAACAGGTAATGCAGTTATAAAGTATCCTACCATATGAATGAAAGCTACCATTTTACTGTAGATTTTGTTTTTCTGGGAAACACAGACACACAGAGAAACATGAACAAAAGTCTTTTAATGATTCAACATGGTATTTGTTATTAAAGTTATATATAAGATGTGTGGAAATGTCAAGACACTACTTTATGGTGACAGTTTTTTAAATGATTGTTGAATGCTTTTAGTAAGAAAAGGCTACAATTAATTATGCTGTTGTTTTAGTCCCCAAATCATGTCCGACTCTTTTAGGATCCCATGATCTGTAGCCCGCCAGGCTCCTCTGTTCATGGGATTTTCCAGGCAAGATTATTGGAGTGGGTTGCCATTTCCTTCTCCAGGGTATCTTCCTAACCCAGGAATTGAGACTGCATCTCCTGCATTGGCAGATGTTTTCTTTACTGCTGAACCACCTGGGAAGCCCGCAATTAATTATAGCTTATAATAAAATATGACACATCTCTGCCCTATCCTCCTTACCTTTTGCCTCTGGTTAATATGTACTGATGACATTGCTTGGCCCTTTCTCCAAATATTTTAAAATTGTTTTTGACTTCAGTGGAATGACTTAATGTTTTAAGGGTGACTTTCAAGATTTTAAATGTCATTGTATTCATTAGAAGTTCAAATTTGTACATTTGGCTGGTCTTTGCTGGTTTCATAGATTTATTTCACACTCAAAAATAATAGTAGGAAAATACAGTCTGAACCATTAATTAAATCTTAATTTCCTACAAATCAGACTCTCATGGTAGCCTCAGTCATTCCTTTTCAAGGCCTGTGATGACTTAATTTGCTTGCTTTCAACATTGTCTTCGTACTTTATCTGATGGATATTATACAATCCATTAATAATCTCTTGAACAAATAATCTCATTAATTTAAAGTGAATGATGAATCGAGTCATGTTGCTAGTTAAGATCAGGAAGACGTTTTACAAAGCTCTGGATTATTTATAACTGTGTCAAAGAAGAGAGATACATTTGAGGGGTCTTGTTAAAGGATATTTAAGACAGATTTTCTATTAGTCAAAGTATAGTTTTAAAAGTGAAAAGAGGGTCACTTCAATTCCTAGGGATTTTGCATAATCATTTTATGCTGATTTGAATAATGAAATGTCTAGACTGTTACTGGTTATCATTTTTTCCTGCTGCCTGATGAGTAGTTTTATGCCTCTTTGTGAGGCCAAAAGAGAGATATAGTTGTTAATAACCAGAGAAACAGGAGAGAGTGTGAATTGGAAATGAAACACGGGAAGCTGAGGTTTTGCTGCTGTCGCCATCTGTAGAGCCTCTTCTTTTGCAAAGAGGTAGCTAATTTGAACCTTTCTTTGTGCCTCTCACCTAAATTCACTGCACTTGACCTTATGCACTACTGTTATCTTGGGTTTTCCACTGTAAGGAGGAATTATGTCAGCTGTATACCTCTAATGACTCTTAGGTACTGTGTTCTCTTATTTAAAGGAAAGGATGTAGCTGAGTAGGAATTGAAACTTGACTACTCACTTCAGATCACACATTTATAGGGCATTTTGATGAAAGGAAAAAAAAAAAACCTTGCATTTATTATCTTGTTTTCTTCTTATCGACAGCTAATTCATTAATTTGATTCAGTAATCTCAATGATATCCACTCCATTATTATTAAAAGTAGAGAGGTTCTACCTCATTACTTGTGTAATAACTTGGTCATGGTAGATAAAAGTGGTTATGCCTCACATCTTTTTTCTGTTCATTTCTTGACTTCCATCTCATGGGCGCTGACAGAAATGATGTCCTGCAGAGGGTGAATCCATACTTCTCACATCACTTTCAGAAGGAAATAGCATGTGCCAGTCTTGTTACCCAGTAACAAAAGGTGTGTAGCTGGCAGCAGTTCAGGAAAGAAACTCACATTTAATTGTACAGCAAGAGACAAAGCTGTCTTTCTAGATCAGCTATAAGTTCTGATCTTGAAAGGAACTGTGTTCAGGCTAATAAAAAGCTTTCAGGTTACAATCAACTGTAAAGTATTGAGCACTAGACTAAAAGATCAAGTAATCACCCCAGTATTCCCAAACTTCATTCCTGCCTTGGTATGGTCAGTCAGGACTCCAGCCCAAGTGACAATTCAACTAGTCTATCAGTTCTAATTCTTGACTCTTGTCTGTTCACTTATGCCATATCTGGCCATTAAATGGCATCCGTCCAACTCCTTTGCACCAAAATTTTCTTTCCTCTTTTCATAAAATAATATAAAAGTCTTGAGTTTGCTATCCAAAGCCTATCTTATTGACCCTTAGATTCCTTCTCAATTTTTTATGTACTTGTACTTCAATTTTTTACATATTTGTACTTCAGCTTCAAGACCATTCTTTAAATGTTATTTCCTTGCATGGTTCACCTAATGGTTCTGCAGTCTACCTGACTTATCTTTAATCCCCAGATTAATTCAACTTTTCCACTGTGCTGTCTTTACACTGCTTCAGCTGATTGGTGAAAGGGATATTTCCCAACTGTGTTTTATGGACTCTGGTTCTAAAAAGAGGCTTCTGTGCTTCAGTGCATTTATAAATATACTCCTAACCTAACGATACCTCATTACTGGAGAGTCGCATCTTATATTGATCAGTTACAGGTATTGAGAAAACTATAGCAAATAAATAGTTTTAATTTGGATATACTCAGACTTTAAGAATTCTGGGTGCTGAGTACATTAACTCAGAGTGTACTCACACATTGATTTTTCACATTAATACCCATTACCTTTTTCATGAAATAAATATTAATTAGTTGTTTAGTTGTGGATAACAGTAACATGATAATAGATTTCGATGGCTTTTTTTTTTTTTTTTGCATTGACCATTTCCTGGGAAAGCTTCCAAATATTGACCCTTGTATAAAAATTGCCTATTGCCAAAAGAGACATTTCATGAATCTATATAGTAGAGTTAATTTCACTCTTGATGTTTTATCAAGAAAACTAAAAATATGTTTCCAGTGCTACCATAACATGTTTTCTGTCTTTAAGGTCACAAGGTTCCTCAAAGCACCTTTCAAAATTCCCAAAATAGAGAACCTGATCTGAATTAGGGAGAGACATAGGGTCTAAGCCATTAGTTTGAGACTGGGAGCTACAACCAGTGGGGTCAGTCACTTTGTCAACACTGCTGTCCACTGATCGTGTTGTGTTATCATGTTCAGTTGCTAAGTCATGTTTGATTCTTTGTAGCCCCATGGACTGTAGCCTGCCAGGCTCCTCTGTCCATGGGATTTCCCAAGCAAGAATACTGTATTAGGTTGCCATTTCCTTCTCCCGGGGATCTTCCTGACCCAGGGACTGAACCTGTGTCTCCTGCATTGGCAGGCAGATTCTTTACCTCTGAGCCACCTGGGAAACCCACTGTCCGCTAACAGGAAGTCTCAAACGTCTGATGTTTTGGGATCTGATCTATATATCTATCTACATCTATATATTTGTTGTTGACCATTTTTTATTTCTATTCCCACTTCACATTTTTCCAAAGACTTGCTCATTTAGCCCTGTGTTGACCAATACAGTAGCCCCAATCACATATGGCTATTTAAATTAATTGGTTTTTTTTTTATTGTAGTGAAGAATACATACAATGAAGTTTACCATTTTAAGCATTTTTCAGTGCACAGTTCTGTGACACTAAGCATATTGACATTGTTGTGCAACTGTCACCAACATCTATCTCTAGCACTTTTTCATCTTCCCCCAACAGAAACTCTGGCCATTGAACTCTTCATCCCTCATTCCCCTCTCCCCACAGCACCTGGCAACCACCATTCTTCTTTCTGTCACCATGAACTTGACTAAGTATCTCATGTAGTGGAAACAAATAACATTTTTCTCTTTGTGACTGGCTTGTTTCACTTAGCATAATGTTCTCAACCAGTAATCATATATGTATGTGAGAGTTGGACCATAAAGAAGACTGAATGTCAAAGAATTGGTGTTTTTGAACTGTGGTGCTGAAGAAGACTCTTGACAGTCCCTTGGACAGCAAGACAATCAAACCAGTCAATCCTAAAGGAAATCAGGCCTGAATATTCACTGGAAGGACTGATGCTGAAGCTCCAGTACTTTGGCCACCTG